CTACTCATCGTCGCATAAGCACACAAGTGTTGGGATTATCATCGCTAAAGGCCGTAGTATACCTCAGTTCTGAAGAAGCAGCTTGAAACCTGAGGATTCTCGTAGACATTACGCAACCGTGTGTTCTAATAGTTTGAGATATACTTTTACCTCGTGTTTACTCGATCTGTTTTCAGGAGAGTAAGGATTTCATAATTGAATTGGGATTTTGAATAAGACGACCTTTTGATTTTCATTTTTTTTTTTCATTGAAAAAGAAATAAACCACCACAATTCTCAACAGTAACAACACTTTAATAAAGCCTCCTGCACAAAACTGCTGCCAAGCATCCGTAGGAAGGGAAAATCAAATGGCGGTACATATAGGTGGACAGTTGTGCCATTGCCATGTCAATCTGTCGCCATGAAAGATGATAGACTCGAATGAAATTCCAGTTTTGCTAAAAATCTTGTTCTTGTTTATTCTTAACTAGCAGCTTTACTGCTGCTGCAATTAACAAATAGATTTTTTACATTCTCAGATCTTTGGGTAACAACCATGGGCAATCACAATTTCAGTTCCTTTGTTTTGATTTTTTTATTTTGACATCAAAAACCATTATCAAAAATTGAATTTAGTCATTTTGAGTTTTTGATTCTTGATTTTGAATCACAATTATCACAATTTTTCTTGACTAATTTCAGACATTCGATGTAAATACCGCCGCAGAACGCTGTCACTGTCACACTCCAAAATCCCCTCCTCATCCTCCTCGTCCTCCGCAGCGGTGGTTGATCCGCTGCCGCCAAGAAGACGACCTTTAAGCTCTGAAATTGAATCGGATGAAGAAATGGAATACGAAGTAAGAGATGAGGAAATTGAGTTCGAAGTTGAAGAATTAGCTGAAGAAGAAGATGAATTTGGAGAAGACTTAACACCAGTTGGGGAAGAAGATCATCAAAATGGCCGACTGTTTCATGGAACTTGCACCAAAATACCTTCTAGGATTTTTCTTCTTAGAATTTTTATTTTTTCACGTTCTGTTCATAGAAAGCTAAGATGTAGTTTCATAATATGTTCATAGAAAGATAAAGATGCAGTTCAGAAATTTTACATGTTTTCTGAGAGGAGCTTGAAATAAGTAGTAGTCTTTTAGCTACATTTGCAAATGCTTTACTACTGTTTTATTTTTTTTAGTGTAGGAATATGAGTTAGAGTTTTTAAAAAGCTGACTTTCAGCCGTATGATGTCCAACTGTAATTTCAATTACAATGTTACATGGTGTAGGAGCTTCTCAAAGAGAACAAAGTTGTTGAAAACGAACTAGAAGATTCTCAGAAGGATAGTGCTGTTCTTGATGAGCCAAAGGAAGATAATATTCTGAGCTGACAATGGACCATTTGTCAATGTAATAATCAAGAAGCTCGGGACGTCAGATATGTAGAAGGTTTTATGTTATTATGCCCATAAACATTTGTTTTATACTTCATTGTCATGTTTTTGCTCGTCTATGCAGATGTTGCAAATGCTGTGGGATGAACATGACATTTGAATCCAGTCGAAGCTTTTCCTGAAGAAAAAAGAGGGTGGAAGACATTTGGATGGGGTCTATTGTTAGAGAGTGAACTTTTGCCATCATTTCCTAGTGCTCCATCATGTCTCTCTTCTGCGGGGAGTAATATCATTTTTGTCAACCAGTAGAATTTTCCTGCAAACTAGATGCATATCGTACTGTTCATAAGTCAGGTGTAGTTTTAAGTTTTTTGTTGAGAAGCAAGGGATGGTTATATTTTCCCAATTGGTGTTCACTTATTCAGACATCGCTCTCTAATATGCAACACTCACTATTTGTACTCTCATTTCCTCACCAAATCCTTTGTTTAATTGTTTTAATGAACCTTTTCTTGTGTTTAGATTAGCTCTCTTCTACTTTCATCTTTGCTTGTCTATCCTCTTTGTTTATATGTCTTCATAGGTTGTCATCGATCTAATTATCTTGAGGAAGCAGCCCAGTTAAAGCTCCCTCATAAAGGTTGTGTATTAGTGATAGCCTCAAAATCATATTTCCAGTAGTCACTCAAATGTGGTAAACTCGTTTTCCTTTCTACATGCACTCACCAACTGCATTGCTAGTCTGGCGTTTATGCCTTCCCTCTCCCCCGACAAATCTCTGGCGACCAAACCAAAGGGAATGCAGGAGAGACTACAACTTGCTTATCAGCAAAGACAGTTCCACTCCCCGAACCTACCAGCAGTCTCTAATTCAAAGTTGAAAGTCTTCACAACAGTACTCTTGTATATTAGATTCTATAGAACCAAACACGAAAAATGACAAAATTTTGTTTAAGCCTGTACTTTTGAAAGTGTCTAGTCTAAAGTATCAAAACTTATAGTCTAAGAAGAAAAATAAAAATTGGTAGCCCAAACATCCCCACTGAACAATCTTCATTAGAAGATGAACCAAACAGAAGAAAGAAATATGGCAGGAATCTCCCTGGTCTGGGAGCCAGTTAAGATCCGCAAGAAGGCCTCGACTGCTGCCGCCAGCAAAAATGAAAAAGCCGTCTACGCCACCGGTCAATGCTAAAAGAGTATTCCCTTCTTCTTTTTCTACATTTTTTTGGATTTACGCGACTCCGAATTTATTAGCACTAAGGCTTTATTGTTTTATGGGATTTTAGCTTTTTCCTTTAATATTTTTAAAACGATACTTGGTAAAGGTTGATGAAAGAGTCGATCTTATATCGTTGTTCAACTTCTAAATTTAACCACTTCTATGCTCGACTAAGGATTCGACTTTTTGTGAACCATGAACGTTCATCTTGCTAAATGCAAAATCCCCCAATTTTTTGCAGTTTTATCATATTCTTTGCTTCCTACTGGGCGCACACTGCCCAAAATCCTATGTAGAAGTTGAATTGAATTTTGAAACATACAACGTCGTACAAATTTAGACTATTCAGGTAGTGGTGGCAATGGGTGGAGCCGAGCTCGACAAGCTCGTGGTTTTTTTTTTTTTTTTTTAATTTTTTTTCTCATTTTTTACCAAGCAGCCAAGCTCATGGCTCGCCCATGAGCCGCTCATCAAAACAACCTCGCGAGCCAACCTGCTCGATTGGCTTGGGCTCATCTTGACGAGTCTGAGAGGCTCACGAGCTGCTTTTTTACGAGCCGAGCAGTCGAGTCAACGAGCCGCTCGACTCGATTGCTACCTCTATATTTAGGTATCTTTTTTATGCAATATTGAACATGTAAATCTCTGAAATTATTCAGCCAACCTATAATTAGTAAATTATTTACTTTATTATTTAATAATAATCGCTTTCTTACTATGAAGATTGTAAACCTCTTTTAGTGGGAAATAATTTAACAAGCCTTGACAAATAATATATCTAAAATAAAAAAAACTATTAAATTTACTTGATGACAGATCAGCTGTTCATCAAACGAATGAAATCTTTATTATAGTATAACATTGAAATATGTAAAATTTCAAGCCAACAATCCTCAATCCAGTAATTGTGCATTTTTTTTTCTATCATCACTTCAAAAATGAAATAATGCAACAATTCATACAATGATAACCATGTACACAGGCAAAATCAGTACACATCAATGATAACCATGTACACAGCATATTTCCATTAACTAGGCAAAATCAGTACACATACCTTCTATAAGAAGGCAAAAGCAAGAAATCTCATCTTACATATAGGTGAACTTGAAAATAAGTTACTCACAAGCCAGTTTCGTCCCAAAACTTGTTAAGCAGATAGCGAATGCCTGAAAAGCTGAAAGAGGCTGCCTATAATCCATCGTAAAAGTATCATCAGTTACCTTCCCAAATTGGAGGAGCACTGTTTCCTCATCGCCCTTTACACCAGGTCGACTTTGATCCATGGTTGCAACCAGTTGAAAATTCTTAACTGATGCAACTGTGACCCGACCATGAAAATTCAAGCACCAACACTCCAAGTGTTCATGCCACCTCGGTGCTTTGTTTTTCAGAATGGTGTAACCGGGATCAGAGGATTCAGGGCTCTTCATTATCAAATCATCTCGAGAGTTGTCAACTGGTGTTGTTCCATCTGAAGATGGGCACTTAACTGAGCAGATCATTCTCCTTGGGCCTCTAGACTTCAAGAGATTGAACTTATAGGACACCTGCCCAACTTCAAAGTTAGCAACTGGAACTTGAGGACTTATCTGCTTGCTTGCTAAACGTCGATCAGCTCTGCTGCTCGACGGCTTAGCTCCACCATGTGGTGGTTGGCTATCATAGATTGTGAAATTAGTACCAAGGAAATCTGACCTGTGAAATGGAAATTGATTTTTTTTTTTAATGTTCGGTACAAATGGAATATCTCAAAGCACCCTTGTTGTTCAACAAAAAGAAGTAAAATGATGAAAATAGATTTCATCAAAAACTGATCAAGTATATTTGGATTTCACCAAAGATAAGTTAAGAAATGGGTCTGGTTTGCATTGCATGATTTGAACTCCTTACCTTAATTTCCCAACATAGGAATTACTTCGTAGAGAGAGATCATTGGCATCAATTGATATAATGTACTCAATGTGAGTACCGTTTCTGTATCTTCGCGCTGCTAAGAGAAACTTGCCTTTGTCCAGAAATGCTGTCAAAGAAAATGAGATAAAAACATCTTAATAAATTCATAGAGAGACAAATGCAAGGAAATTCATGACAATATAAGGGTATAAAAGGTTGGATCTATGAGGTTAGAGGACAAATACTACCACGGAGATCTATTGAATCCGTACTTTCAGCTAAAAAATAAAAGTTTTAATGTATTTAATTCCATATCGATGTACTTTTCAATGTAGAAATGCAAAGAGAAAGACGAGAGAAAAAGAATGAGAATTGAAAGACAAATGTAGAAATGAATTTAATTATCACTGAATATATACAATAAGTATTTGCGCTATTCAGTAACATTTTATTTATACTTTAAATCCCTAACAAAATGGAAAACTTCCAAACTTAAAACTAATAGTTACAGTAAGAAAATTCATTTCTTACTTTTAGCCTACAATAAGTGTGTATTTTTGGCATGTCTTCTGTAAAATCGCCATAATTCTCACGGCCAAAAGAGAAATTGAATTAGGATGATAAACTGTACAAACCTTCAAAATTGGTTGTCAGCATGTGCACGTTCCATTTTAAACATGTGCACATGTTTGACTATTTAGACTTGAGGTTCCATCGTAAAAAGTCAACTTTGCTCAAACTCTTATTTGTCGATTAATAGTTTTTATACTATACCAATGTGAGATTTTACTTTAACATGCCGCCACAAAATGATGGCTCATTTGAGCATACGAATCTAGGAATCCAAATTCTCATTTGAACTTTAGACGAATCAAATTGCTAGTTTAAGCTTAATGAACTCTAATACCTTATTAAAACTTATGAGTTCATCTTAAAATGTTAATCTTATTAAGACAATTGGCCCAAGCCTATTCATGGATTTTATTCTAAACAACGACTACTTGTGTAGGCTTGTGAAGTAATTTCCCTATTTTCTAATTTGACACACGGAGCACCAAGAGGTGTAGCTTTAGAAGGGTATGGTTAAACTAACAAGTACGCTCCAATGCTCAATTCATGTACAATGTGTGTGTGTGTGTGTGTGTGTGTGGCACGGGGGGGGGGGGGGGGGGGGGGGGGGGGGGGGGGGGGGGGGGGGGGGGGGGGGGGGGGGGGGGGGGGGGGGG